TAATAATTAAGTAATTACTATCTATTTATTAGTTATTAAGTATATCTATTTATTAATTATTAATTAATATATAATGTAATTAGTAATTAATAATTAATTATTTAATATAACATTGTTGATAAGCATTAGAAAATGAAAACGGAAAAGAGAAAATAATTTTCAATCATTTTTTACTTTCTTCACAAAAAGAACCAAAACGGAAAAAAAAAATAAAGTTTCAGAGTAAAAATAAAAAAGGCGTAAGAAAAGGTCTAAAATGTAGAAATGAATAAGTTTAAGAAACCAATGGAAAACAAATAAAATTTTAGGATAAAAATAAAAAAGGGTAAAAAAAGATCTAAAATGAAGAAATAGTAAGTCTTAGGGTAGAAAGAAGAAAATAAAACAAAAAACTTGAAAAAAAAAGTTTTTGGGGCAAGAAGCAAAGTAAAATTGTCAAAAAAGGACTAAAATGAAAAAATAAAAAGTTTTAAGGCAAAATGAACCAAAATGAAAATAAAAATAAAATTTTAGGGAAAAGCAAAAAAAATAAATAAAAAGTGGAAAGGACCATGAAAAATAAATAAATTTTAGGGTAAAAAAACAAAAAACAATAAAATAAAAGACTTTGAAAAAGAAGAGAGGAAAGGATCTTAAAAAACATGAACGGTGCACTTTTAACCAAAACAACGTCACTTTGGTTGAAAGTGCACTGTCGTTTTGGTTGAAAGTGCACTATTTGAAGTACACTTTCTCATTTTTTTTATCATTGTTTTAAAATTTATCTTATACCACTAATAATCTATAAGTCATCTTTTTGTAACACACAAATTATCTTTTCGTAATCCGCAGGTTACCTTTTGTAACTTGCATGTTACCTTTCGTAATGGCATAAACACGTTGTATAAAATTAATTTAAATTTAGACTTTAATTAGGAAACATCCATCATTAATTTTGTCATTGGGAGTGAAGAAAATTTGTTTTTTTTTCAATTATATTGTATGTAAATTAGACTAAAAAATTAGAGTATGTGGTTAAAATAGTAATTGTGTCAAAATTGTTTAACAACTGTTATTTGTGTAACACATGTCAAAAGCGGTTAAATTTCCTAATAGAGAGGGCATTTTTGTTACAATTTCATTGTTTAGAATGAACAATTATTACATTTTAAAGATCAATAACAAAGTATTGCAAGGAACATAATTGAAGGGAATTTTTGCAATTAATCCTAAAATTTTTGATGATCAAGAGTTGCCAAAACAAAACTCACGTTTTAAACCAAATGATCTTCTCGTTATTCTGGTTCTAACGATCTTTGTGTTTTGTGTGTGCGCATGTCATAGAATTCTCAATTCTTCTAGACTACACAAGAACGCGTCATCAACAATAACTTCCCACCATCATTGCTCTAGAATTCCTAAGCACCACATGGGAATGCACATAAAATATTTAAGATTTCTACGAGCAGTCTAAGAAAATACGAATCACCTACACTCCTAACATAATATATTACTATTTAAACAGAAAATTGTATAATGGCATCCATGTGTCAATAATAAACGGAAAGAGTAATAAAAATTGTGACAGAAAAAGTGACGCTAGTATTTTTTAAATTACAAAATAGAAGATTATTCACCTTCTATGTCATTTTCTGTCTTCTTTCCACTTTGGATTTGGAGACGCTATTTATGTACCTGCAGAAGAAACTCTGGCCTTGTTCGGCAAGGTGATTTTTGAGTTAAAAACTCAAAAAAATGTGACTCGAGTTATAACTTTATTTGAGTTCATGTTCTTTGAAGTTTGAATTTGAGTTTGAACTTGAGTTTGAACTCGAGTTTGGAACTAAAACTCGAGTTCAAGTTTCTCCTTCAACTCGAGTTCAGAAACTCGAACTCAAGTTAATGAACAGTATTTTTTCTATTCTTAAAAATGCTATAACTTTTTCGTTTTAATTCTGATTGAGATGATTTTTTTTCTATGCGTTGACAACGAAAAGATGAATAAAACTATACCCATATACCCTATTAAAATTTTTCATTAGCATTGAGTTTTTATTAAAATACTATCTAAAAACAAATTCAAGTTTTTTCTTACTCAAACACAAACTCAAAAAAATTCTTATCTCAAACCATAACTCAAATGTACACAACCAAACACAAACTTAAGTTACAACTTCAACTCAAGTTATAATTCAAACTCAATTCAAAATCTACGCTCAAGTTACCTAACTCAAAAATATCAAAAGAACAAGCCCTCTAACGCTTGAGTTAAATAAACAGTAGAAAATATTAAGAGTAACAAAATTTCAGTAAAAGAGCCAAGATGTCAAAGTAAGAGCAAATGCACCTACGTATAAGATGAACTGAGAATTCTATGACAAGAACTGAGATTCTAAATATTATTTAATCTTCTACTTCTTTTTTTTTTTTAACACCTACGGTGCTAAAGTTTTAATAACCTCTATGTTGATCAACATTTAAAAAAAAAAAAAAAAAAAAAAAGGAAGTAAAACCAATGATGGACAATGTTTCCGATCTCCAAGCTTTTTTTCCGTCGCTAATTACGGGGGATTAAAATTGATTTCCATATTATTTAAAGTTATTAAGTTTCTTTTGCTTAAAAAATTCGTTTCTTATATATGTTGGGGTCAAACTATCTTAGTTAGGAGTTAGCATCTTAAAAATATAGAATTACGCGGCATGGATAAAAAAAAAAAAAAAAAAAATCAACGAACTTGATGAACATGCAATTCAAAACTATCGAATTATATTAGATTTAAAAAAAAAAAAAAAAAAAAAAAAAAAAAAAAAAATGATGATTTAATGAACTTATAGTACTGTATCCAGTAAGATGTCACATAATTAAAATTCTCTTTTAAAACATTGTGCATCTAGTTACCAGAAATAGTCCATTCTAGTGACAAATACCCAAGTCCATGAGCTAACCAAACCCCACCAAAATAATAACTAATTTTAACCACAACCATCAATACTTGGAGTGGGTTGGAAGTCCATCTCATGATTTCATCCTCATGACTTCCAACCAAAGCAAACTCTTCTCTTTACTCTTTACTTTTTTATTAACACACCCACGTTCATCTTCTTTCTTGAGATTCTACAAACAGAAACTTGAAAGAGCACAACACAAAGAACACACAAAAATTAAATCACAAAAAAAAAAAGGGGGGGCGGGGATATGTTGACAACAAGGGTCATAGCCACATCCTTCATTCTTTTCCTCCTCATCTTCACTTGTTCCTCGGGTTTGGCGCAAGGCTATGGAGTTGGATCGGGAGAGAAAGATCGTCGAATCCATGTCGATGAATCTGCGGGGCAAAGGAAGACACGGATGAATCATGGGAGTTCTCGGGGTCCTCGGAAGCGCCTCGTTAACCCCACGGTACAGCATCCTTTCCAAGCTCGAGAGTTCCCTCTCTAGTTTGAATTTGTTGGATCAAATGGAATGGTGCTTTTGACAAAGTTTTTTAATCTTCTAATTTTCTCGTTGTGCATCTGAGTGTTCTGATATAGAGTGTGATAGTTTTGTGTTACTTTTCTTTTTTCTGTTTTCTTCCCCAAGTGATGTAATTGTTATGTTGTGGATTGAGTTGGAAAAACTAGTGTTTTTCATTTGGACTAATTGTTTTGAATGGTTAAATCGGAAGATTTTTAAACAAAACGAGGGATGTTATCTGGACCAACAACTTTTTTTTTCCTCGCGTTTGCATCTCATTCCATGTCAAATTAAACTTATTCCCCAGCAATGGGAGCCAACGAATTTCGAGCTGTCGAAGAATTTCAGCATAATACAGATTGTCACGTGTAATAAATATGTATTTTCAAACACGGTTAACTTACTTATTTTGTCGGTTTGAATTACAATTTAAACATATATATTTTTTTTTAAAAATTCTCTTAATATTTGAAATTCTATTCAAATTTATAAACCAAATGGACGTGGGTGATATGTTTTGCATGTATGAAGAGCCGAAAAAAAAAAAGAAAAAAAATCGGGTGCAAATAAGGAGTGATCTTCAGCCATTTTCCAATGTCACGAGAAGGTGGGTGATTTTTCAATTAATATAAATTGGTGGCAAAAATTGCTTTCTTTAAACAGGCACAGGCAAGAATCTTTTCTTTATTTTTTTAAAAAAAAAGTGAACAAACTCGTTTTCAATAACTTCAACGGAATGGTGGTCTGAGTGTAAATCTGTTCACTTTTAGCTATCTCACAAGCCATTTTAGCGACCGGATTTTGGAGAATTCAGCACAAGAGAAATTTATCACGAGGGAGGAAAAAAATTAGACTCACGTAACTCTGTAAAGAAGACAAAATCGAAAATATCTTCTGCCTTCGGTGTAGGCTCTTCTCAGTGATCCAATAACGGACATCTTGTAAGTGTCAATCTTCGTCTGTCTAAAATTTTCACAATCTAACACTCAAAAGTTACAAATCTGACAAAAAACGACATAAGAACATGTAAATGATAAACATAAACAAGCTACCACCACAAACAAATTAAGATTTAAGTCAACCAAACCTTTCACCTGTGTAAAATAAAATCGAAGTGCACAATATTTTTAATTTTTTGTTCATTATGAAAAGTGGTACTAAAACTATAAAATAGAAGAAAAGAGAGCAAACAAAATCTTAACGGATAGATAAATCCCCAAGTATTTCCTTTTTCTGTTGGATGGATTTCGGATATTTACGTCGTTCATTTCACCGATTTAAGTTTTCAGTTTTAAATTTTTACAGTAAAAAATTCTCAAAAAATGTCACATCTAATTTTTTTCTGTTACAGTGAAAAGTTTTAAAAAAATGTCACATCTCAATTTAAATTAAAAATTTAAATTCGCGAAGTGATCGAGACCTTCCAAGATGAGAAGACAAAAGGAGAAAAAGAAGAGATCCCCTTTTGTGTGGTTTCCAACCATTCGTTTCTGCTAGATCTTTATTTATTTATTTATATCTTATTATCAGACCACTTGCACATCATTTTCGTACATCATTTTCGGGACACTTGGTGCTTGAGGTTGCTCAATAAATCTTCTTTCTTTTCTCATTAAATAATAATAATAATAATAAAGCGGCACCGCTTAACAATATTAATCATTCCCCTTTATATATTTACACCTCATAATTCATGGGAGCGCATTTTTTTTTTTTTTAAGAAAAAGAATAAGAAAGAAGGGACTATCACCGGTGGGTAAGCTCTATCGGTATAGTAGCTTTTGATTATTAAATTTAATTAAAATGACATTAAAATATATAAATTGTGTTTAGAATTATTTTTATTTTTATTTTTTACAGTTTTTGAGAAAAAAAAACGTTTCTAAAATAACATTTAACGCAATAAAAATAAAAAATAAAAATAAAAATAATTTTTTAATTTAGTGTAAAATGAAAGAGAAATAAAAAATAATTTTTAATCGTTTTTTATTTTTTATTTTCGTTTTCTCCTCTTTCGAACAGAGAGAAATAAAAAGAGACATTAATAAATTTTTTTACACTGAAAACAATCTCTTAATAAAACTACTAAACGTATTTTCAAAATGATTTCTGTCTGAAATTAAAAACGTTTTTATTTTCATTTTCATATAAAAAAATAAAATTATTTTAAAACGAGTTCTAAACACGCCTATAGTTTCTGATGCATATTCGCCATTTTGAAAAAGAAAAAAAAAAGTCGTAATTTCAGGTAATTTTTTATTGGATATACCTACACAAATGAGGTATGACATTCAAGATGATACGTTTACAAATAGAAGAAGAGGGGGAAAAAAAAAAGACCAGTAGAACACATTGAATTTATGTAGGAAAATTGAAAAATTTTGGAGTGATAATTTATTAGTAAAGAAACAACAATGTTGCACCAGATTTTGTTCAGATCCCAGATGCATTACATTCTTCAAGAAGGTTTAAAATGTTATGTTCAGGGGCACTGAGAGATGGAAGAATTGAACGGTTGGCTTGTGTCTGCGCCGGCTTGGGTTTCGTCTCGGCACTTTCGGGTTCGAGAGATGCCGCTCCTTCCTTCATTACCGGCAAGTCCGCTCTCCTCCGAACTGTCGCAGATACGCGCTCTTTCCATATTCTTCCATCCTAAAGTTCAAAACACAAAGATCGTATCAAACATATAAACATAATATTTTTCATACAAATGAATTTAGGAGGATTAATATGTAAAAAGTAATCTTCTGTACCAATAACAACACATATGAAACCAAAACCGCTTAGATGTTGGACCATGTTGGTATATTCAAACGCTTTTGAGCAGAACAAAATGCTGCATTATCAAGACCTTAAAGCTCTTGATGGACAAAATTGAATGATGTGAAAAAAAGGGGGAAAAGGATGGTAATAAAGGAATCAGATTTTGAAGAAATGTTTTGAAATGGATTTGTGATAGAACTTAAAGTTTGTGGCCTTGTTCTTTCCGGTGTTGAGATATGCGAAAATTATGGCATTTATAAACAGTGCAAGGATAATTTGATCAGAACTTTAGAAAATTCCATTGTATATGTTTGCAACTTACACTACAAAGCTGCAATAGGACTACCAACAAATTTCAATGATCAAGCTCAATAAACCCTTCAAACAAAATCCGGTAAGTAAAAAAACCGAGCACCATGCTCACAGACTGTAGTTACTACCTATATCAGAACCTATATAAGATTAGCATACATTTAACATCTTAATTCCTACATCTGATCCTGTAAACAAATTATCACCAAACTAAAAAGAAAAATATACAATGCTAATGCAAAACAAACCTTGAAAGCAAACCAAGATATGGACTTACATTAAGGATCGACGGTTCGGGTAACGGGCACTGTATCGGTCTATCATTATCAAGCGGCTCGTTTGGGTGTTCAACTGGCTTAAACTCTACTGCAACTTCAATTCCATGAGAAGAAGCAGCGGCAGCATTTGCAGAAGTAATCTCCGAATTTGGGGGCAACACTTCCCTCTCATCCTGCTCCACACACAAAAAAGAAAATCAGTCAATAATTAGCAAGAAATTCATATCCCTATGGAAACCATCAAATTTGTGTCAGTAAACTTGTTTTTGTATCCTAGAAATGCACAGAAAGTGGGCACTCACAAAACTTTAGCAAACAAATTCCACATAGAAGTTGAGGCTGCCAGCCAGGAAAATACTTCCATAAATCAATAGGTCAAAGTATGGGCGTGCAAGAGGAGACAGAAACTGCCGCAAACTGAACCACCGGATCGGTGCCCCGTAAGCATCAACTCTGGCGGTTAAAAATGTACCAAACCAAACCGAACTTCATAATTGAAATAATTGGAGAAGTTTGCAGTGGTGAAACTTGATCCATGTCCTCAGCATACATACAAGTGCGCTTTACCACAAAGCCACACATGCCATTATGTAAATGATGGCACAACTGTATGTATACTGCGGAAAGGGATAAAGGCCATGTCCCTGCAAATTTCCCCAAAGCTTCTTTTTAAAAAAAAAAAAATTTTTTTTTTTGATCCTAGACAAAACTGGACCATCCAAAGAAACGGTTCGCATTTTTAACCGCTGGCGTCCGTGCTAACGCGCACTAACCCGGCAGTCTGCTCGGTTTTGGCGGTTTCCGCCTTCCCCTACACACCATTATAAACCCAATGCAGGTTTGTAGATAATAAAAATAATAACAGCAAGTTAAGCCTTTTTTAAGCAAATGATAATGAACAAAGAGCTAAGCAAATGAAACCACAAGATCGTCAACCTCCATTCTTGCTAGTATTGCAATAATGGCATAAATATTAAGCGAAGAGCTTCTAAGATTAGAATAACACAATAACCGAAACAGAATGGTAAAAAATGGCAAAAGATCAAACAGTTTAAGCTGCAAATAAATAACATGGCCAAACATTCAAAACATTCACAAGAAAGTAAAACTGTTTGACAGCAAATCAGAACAGATTACGGTATCCAAAATCTAATCAAAAGGATCCGATCCTGAGAAAATCTTTAAAACCTAAGACCAGATCAAAACCCCATTTCACCAATAATGGGAACCAATTAAAAAAAAAAGTCAACCCAAGTCCAAAGCCGGCAATCAAAACAACCAAACTCAAAAAGATTCATTCATAGAAAATCCAACATCTCATGAAATTGAAAAAACAGAAAATACAAAGAACAAGAATATAATAGGGGAAGAAAAACAGAAAATACAAAGAACAAGAATATAATTGGGGGGGTGGGAGGCGAAAGAGAGAGATCTTACAAGGGCACTCTGGCTACGCCTATGGCCAGTTCTGCTTACGGAAAACCTTGAGAAAATGCCCACCATTTTTTTTTTCTATTTCCTCAAATCAAAAGTACTATTCTCACAAAAGGGTCTTCTGATGTTGGTTTAGTTCAACAAAATTTCTCCCTCTAGAACACAAATCAAACTCTAAACTACAGCGTCACCTAGGTTTTACATTCACAAAAGAGAGTTCTAGTTTGGGGTTATTTTTGCCCGACAAGTCTGTTTCTATGTCTCTCTCTACAACTTTCTTTCTCTCTCTCTCCAAAGAAAAAGGTGGGGACTTTGGGAAAGAAAACGATAAGGCATTAAAGTTAAGGGCAGATAATTAGGTTTGGTTAAACTTGGCGTGTTGGGTTTTTGTCTGTTATGAAATGAGGATTCTCTTATGTGTATTGTCGAAGTAAATTACAATACACTTTCGAGTTTAGTGTGAAAATTGTTGGAGGAAAAAGCTGTTGTGATTGAGAACAATAGGACGGTGTGGCATTTGGCAAAGAAGAATCCATGAAAGCAACATGAAATTGAATATTGTAATTACGTAAAAAAAAAATCCTGTAAAGGATTAGTAACATGTTCTTCTTATCTTATTAAAAATGCTAAATGATAATATAATACTAATAAAGTTACCCACTTTGCCGATTTTAATGGTTTAAGGAACATGATGCTTAGCAGCCACAGAAAAAGCCACTTCTTTCTTTTAGAAAAGGAAAAAACTTTGCTGCTTTCCAATATTTGTTTGGTTACATTTACAGTGAAGAAGGTTATTTTGCTCTAATCGTAAAAATTGTGTCTACACTATCTGGATCTATTAGCCTTTTTGGTATTTTATTAACTTCACTGGACCTCAACTCCAGTGGTACAACTTCGGGCGGCGGACATGCCCGGTGTTTGAAAATTTTCGAGCACGGCGGGCAGGTGCTATTCGCCGCTCATCCGAGTTATTTGGTCGGGCACGGGCACGGGCTCGGGCAGCCCGAAAAAAATCACTTCCCGGCTGGCCGCCGCAAGTGGAGAAGTCGTCCTCCCCGTCCGCCGGATTTTTTTTTGAATTTTCCGGCGTAACCCGAATTTGTCCGAATTTTTTTGACCGTTAGCCCGAATTCTGCCCGTTGCCCGAAATTGCCCGATTTTTTTTACCGTTAGCCCAAATTTTAAAACCAACGGATTTATTTTGCTCGACCCGACCGCCGCCCGAAAATTCAAACCCCAACAGTTATTTTTTTGACCGGTCCAAGCTGTCCGACTTTTGCCCGAACCGACCCGAGTGCCTGAAAATTTTACTAGCCGTTGGACCCGAATTTTTGGGGCAAAAATTTTTTTTTCAAGCCAAAAAATTTCCTATAAATACCCCCCAACGATGGAGACCAGTGGGTCGCATTGTCATACAACTCTCTCCCACTCATTAGTCTGCAAATATGTATTTTATTTGAAAAAACATCTCATGATTTTCAAATCGAAAAATAAACAATTTATTTCTCGGATATGTGAAATTCCAAAATTTAACTCTTAAATTCAGTTTCACACTTAACATTATTTTGCAAATCAATTTTGCAACTTAAATCAATTTAATCATATTAAATCGATTTTAGCGCATGGTTCTTATTTTATTTTATTTTTCTAAAACACTTTTATAATAAATAAAATAAACAATAACAAATGCACGTATATGCATGGCATGTTATAAAACATATGAGTAGACACATTATATCTATATGGCATGTTATATGCAAGGACATATAATATATAATTATCAACATAAAATATAAATATATGCAATCAACTATTGAGATGGATTTGACCGGGTCTCATGGAAAAATAAATTACAACTCAATCGAATCGAATAAATAAATAATTACAATAATTATATTCTTCTGTTACATCAACGAGTCTTCGATTCTTGAGTTCTTTATCCTTCGACTTCATTCTTTGTCTTTGGGTTGGATTTCACCTTTCTTGGGGTCCGGAACTTTTCCGGGTCCGTCGGCATGCATTACGAGGGTTTTGGAAACCTTCGGGCCCCTTCGGGATCAAATCTCGAATATTGGCCGCCAGTTGCGCTGGGGCGGGCGCGCGCGCGCAAGATGGCCGTGCGCTGTGCGCGGCCGCGTGGTCAAGGGCGCACAGGCGCGCGCTAGGGCACGTAAGCGCACGCTGGGGCACGCAGATGCGCGCTGGGGCGCGCACGATGGGCGATTTCTGGAAATTTTCTAGGCAGTTTCTGGGCAACTTCAAAGGCTTCAAACTTGATCTTCAAGGCCTCCTTTTAATTCAAAATCAAAACCCTAATTCTACCCAAAACCTAGAATTACAATAATTCTAATCTCGAATAAAATTACAAATAATTTAATCAATGAATAAATATAACTGATCTATGGAACCATATAATTA